TGCGGCGCTGTGGTTTGTGGCACTCGGATGCAACGTGTTCGTGGCATGTGCAGTGTTTGGCAGCCAGTGGTCGTCTCTGTGAATCTTAGCTAGTCGATCGTATGTCCTGTGTGTCGGGCATTATTGTTATTATCATTATTAATACGTGTTGGTGTGGGCCTTTGTGGAAGGGGTAGTGTGAAGTGTTTGGGCGGTGTGACACTCAACAGTGCCAAGTGTCGCCGCGCCCTGCCTTGCCCTCTCACTCAACCCAGGATGCTGCTTGAGCCATTATGCTGAGTCAACAAAGCACACCAACCGCCAACATGAACGCCCTGGGGACTGTGTACGCGACCAAACGCCGCCGACGCAACGGGAAAAGGTAAATACACTTCAGATCAGATCCCTTTGGACATCCCCGCCCTGGGTCCTCCTGCAGTGACCTGCCGTGCTGGAGGCCGAGGCCGACCTGGGCCTTCGGGAAGGGACGGGGAGTGAGGGCGCAGCGGCGACGCCAAACTACGAAAGGTTGAATGGGCGAGGGAGTTTCGTGCACGGAGACTCCAGCGGCAGTGTCACTGGGCGTCGTCACTGCAGCGGGAAGCGAGAGCAGCATTGCAGGTGTTAACGAGTCACCGCTCTGCAATTGCACTGTCGGATACGTCTCGCGTTGTGCGGCTAATCGTGCCCTTGTATTTGTCTTGATCTTTCGTTTATGTCCTTGTCTTCTTGCGGAAATCTGTTTCCAGCGGAAAGAACGGCCGATCCAGCACCGCGTATTTCCGCGGCGTCGGAATCGCGAGGGCGCGAGCGAGCGACCTGGAGTCCAGCGAAAACATCGCATGCAAATCCGCCATAAATTTGCATCTTGTCCCTTTCATTACGAATCATAAAATTTTACATTCGGGCCGTGATTTATGCGCGCAGGGGAGTTGGCGCTTCCATTTAACAGTGCGACGGAGTGTCCTGCTAATTAGCAGCGGCGAGAGGACCTCGGCAGCGGGAGGCCGACGGCGGCCGACGAAGCCGAGCATCGCCGGTGCCACCTGCTCCTCGCGGCCGTGGCACCCGGCCCGTTCGGCGCCGCGTGCAAGCAGGCCTGTCGGGCGCCGCGCGGGGAATGGGCGGCTCTGAGGCTGTGCCAAGTGGGGATGCTAAGGCAGTGAGATAACCTCCGGATAGCGTGACGATAGAGTTAGCTGGGGTCATTCGTGTTCGCATGCGGGGCGCCGCGCACGCACAATACCCCCCCGCTGCACGCACATGGCGCCCATGAGCAACGCATGGCGAAGGAAGGAGGAGAGAGGGGGGAGGGGGCGGTGACGGTGGCATCGGGTACTCATGCCATGGTATATTTCCCACCATTCAGTTGCAGCGGCCGGCCCGACCGTGGCCAACAACAGTGATTTGGCTTCGGCGTAAATAAGTTGCAGTGCCTTCGGAGGAGCGATGTGGTGTCACTTTCCCAAGATTAGAGAACGATAAAGATTATTATCATTTTGCGAATGAGTGAAATCTTCAGTCAACTTGGGTTGCGTGCTGCTCACTCGTTCCGCGATGCCTCGAGATGAACTTGGCGATTCTTCATTTTATGTGTTTTGCTGCCTTCCAATACGCTTTAAAAGGAGATTACCCATAAGGGGAAAACTTGGCGGAAACAAAAGTCATCTACCTGAATTAACTTATCGAAGGAAAGGTCAGGTTTTGACCATTGCGATAAGAGGGATTCTGCTTCTCATTTAAACAGTTCTGTTCTGTTTATTTTTATTTTATTCATTTTTCGATTCAGTGTCATTATTATTATCAATATTACTATCATTATCACTTTACAAAGAAACAGTAATAGTGATTAATTCTACGATGCAAAAACTCCTTTACCTTTCAACACTATTTAAAAGTAACATAATGGAAAGCGAAACTCAGATAACCTAAACTCTGCATTAGACAGACAAAAAACATTCTTGATTTGAGAGTTATTACGTAAATAAAGACCATTATGCGCCGCAGCGTAGAATGAGGACACAAAACATCTCGCCTTCCTCATGACAAAAAACACCAAACACTTTGATTAAGGTTTTCCACGTTTCATACATGACATTAAAGTGTAATTCCCTCTCTGGACAACACAATAACTGATCCGTGAATTGCTTTGGAACAATAGTTAATGACATGATATGTATCACAGAAGTATAATTACTAATGACCGTACCACTCATCAAAGAGTGTTTCAGCGTAACATCTTCAAACACAAAAGAGACATCTTCTCTTTCCAGAAATGAAAATGAATGACTTTAAGAAACAGTGAATGGAAAAAAGTGACCGTAACTGAATTCAATAAATTTAAGTTCTGTTTCGATTTTCTACTTTTTTTTAAGTTTCATTGTTGGTATTATTTATCATATCAATGGTGTGTTGATTGTGCGATAAGAAAATACATGCTTACTAGTTATTTTATTTTTTTATTTTATTATTTTTTTCGGTGTTACAGACTTTATCGAGCGTTTTATACAGCAATGTGATTATTTCATTGTCCTTAACAAAAATATAGAAAAAAAATACATTTGTCATCAGAGAGATATGAACAACTTGGACTTAGAATGACAGTGGAAGAGCAAATGCAAATTTTATAATGTATTTTAAGTAAAAATGAGCAACGAAATTCTAGTTATTCTAATGGTGATCGAAAGTTATTATAATGATTCTAATCATGATAAAATGTGACATTGCAGTTGTAGTGGACATGATAATAATAATACTATTAAGGATAATTAATTTCATCAGCAACAATCATAAATCACTACTGTTGTTTTTATCATTATTGTATTTTTGTTCATATGCTTGATATTGTTATTATTGTTTGATCATTATTATTATTATTATTATTATTATTGTTGTTGTTATTATTATTGTTATTATTATATTATCATTATTATTATTATTATAATTATTATTATTGTTATTATTATTATTATTACTATTATTATTATTATTATTATTATTATTGTTATTATTATCATTATCACATTTTATTATTATAATCATTATCATCATTGTTATTATTATTATTATTATTATTATTATTATTATTATTATTATCATTATTATTATTATTATCATTATTATTATTGTTATCTTTATTATTATTAATATCATTATTACTATTATTGATATTATCATTATTGTCGTTCAACATTCAATTTTCATTATTGTTATTATTAATATTGTTATTATTATTGTCTTTATTGCTGTTGTTGTTGTTATTATTATCATTATCATTATAATTATTATCACTATCATTATTATTTTTTTGGTTCCTGTTGTTATTATTAATAATATTATTTTTATCATTGTTGTTGTTATAAATATTATCATTACTGGTAACAGTGTTATTACCGTCAACATGTTTGTGAATTTCTTTATCTATCTATTATTATTATTTTTATTATTATCGTTACTATTGTTACTTTTATTATCACTGTTATCGTTTTCAATTATCGTTGGTACTTTTACCATGTTCACTATTAATAGCACTGTTATTACCTTTAATGATAATTATTGTTGTTATTATTATTATTATTATTATTATTATTATTATTATTATTATTATTATCATTATTATTATCATTATTACTATTATTATTATTTTATTTTTATCATTATTATTGTTATCATTATTATTATCATTATCATTATTATCGTTGTTTCTATTATCATTATTCGCACTTGTTCTTGTTATTACTACTATTATCATGATTATTATTATTATGGTTATTGTGATTTTTATTGCTATATTTATTATCATCATTAGTAGTAGTAGTAGTATTGTCGATATTATCATTATTTTCATTATCATTATCATTATTATAATTGTTATTATTATTATTGTTACTATTATTATTATTATTATTATTATTACTATTTTATTATCATTATATTTATTATTTTCTATTGCTATTATCGTTTTTGTTGTTGTTATTATTGTCATTATTATTATTGTTATTATTATTATTATTATTATTACTATTATTATTATTATTTTTATTATTATTATTATCATTATTATTGTTGTTATTGTTGTTATTGTTATTGTCATTATTATCATTATTTTTATTATTTTATCATCCTCATCATCATCATACTCATCATCGCTATTATCATTATTATTATTACGATTATCATTATCACCATCGTCCTCGTTGTTATTTGTATCATAAATGATATTGACGATTTTGTTATTCTTTTGTTCTTGTCGGTATTATTCTTATTCTTATATTCGGTTATTATCATATCCGTTATGACGAATGCCACATTACTGTTAGTTAGTTTTTTTTTATTTATTGTTTGTGTTATTCCTTTATGATGATGGCGAGTAATAACTAAGATGATAACAATGATGGTAATGAAAACAATGATAGTAATAATATTGGAGATGATGGTAACCATGATAACAGTACTGATAATGATGATGATGACAATGATAATGGTAATAATGATAATACTGATAATAAACGATAATAATAATAATAATAATAATAATAATAATAATAATAATAATAATAATAATAATAATGATAATAATAATAATAATAATAATAATAATAATAATAATAATAATAATAATAATAATAATAATAATAAAAATAATAACAATAATAATAATAATAGAAATAATGACAATAGTGATAATGATAGTAGAAATAATGATTTTAATAATAATGATAATAATAATAGTAACAAGAATAACAGAAATAATGATGATGGTGATGATGATGATGATGAGGAGGAAGATTATAATAGAAATGATAATAATAATGATGATATTAATAATGATAATAATAATGCTAATAGTAATAATGACAATAAAGTTAATGATAGTAATGAAAATAATGGCATTACGTTATTATTATTATCTTTATGAATATTTTTGTTATTGCTTTGAATATTATTGTTATTATTCTTATTGTTACTTTTTCATCACAATTGTCATGAGTTGCTACTGTCATTGTCATTATTATAGTTACTATGACCGTTATAATTATTATTCTTATGATCATTATTGCTGTTCTGCTGTTGTTGCGATAGACATTTATATACTTTAGATTTGGCAATACTTACAAACAATCTTCATTTTCATCTGTATTTTGTTGCGTTATTATTATTTTGATCTTCAATGTCACGGACACCATTTTATTGCTAAAATGAACTGGATTTCACTATTGTTTATATTGGTATCAGTATAGATCTTAAAGACTCAAGTCACCGTTATTGCATCAGATGTTTTCCTCAATATTTGTCAAGTTATAGTTATTATTTATTATCCTCAATATCGCTGTCTTTATTATTATTGTTATTGACTTTATTATTATCATTATAACTGTAATG